GCCATGTGTTAAATGCAAACAGTTGCCATGTGTTTAATGCAAACAATTGCCATGTGTTAAATGCAAACAGTTGCCATGTGTTAAATGCAAACAGTTGCTATGCTATAAAAGGCAGTCAGTTGCCTTGTGCTGAATGCAGTTGCCGTGTGCTGAATGCAGACAATTGCCATGTGCTGAATGTAGACAATTGCCATGTGCTGAATGTAGACAATTGCCATGTGCTGAATGTAGCTGGTAGCATGTTCACTTCACACTTACGTTATTTTGCTGAACATGTTATTCCATATGACAAATCAAAACAACCTTAAGTGATTTCTTTCAAGTTTTATTTGCTAAAAAGCATAAAATAATCATAAATAAAATATAACTTGTTTCTATACATATATTCATTAAGAAAGTCACCCAGAATAGGATGGCACAACAGATTTGGTATTTCACAGCTTGGTTTTATCAGCATATTATTTATCTAAACTTCTGTATGTAAGATCTACATGTCTTTGTAGTTTCCCCACACTAACACTTGGGCTGGAATGCTCCCAACTCGCCAAACTCATGTCTTCCCAATTTCAGGTCATACTGGCAAACAAGGATAAGTTGGACCGGCGCAGAGAACACGTTTACGAGAAGTAGGCGGTGCACGGCAATGAGCAAACTCGTTTGGTTTGTGAAAGGCAGAACAGATGTAGGTTAGTGCCCATGACGATGAAATTGATCCCGGGCGTAGCTGCACACACCTTGCTCATAAGACACTTACATCGGTGTAGCAAGTCATACTACACTTGATCGCAGACAACCTGGAGCCAACTCGCTAACAATGGCAAGCGGCAGTGGGCGGCACTCATACATGCTAATACGGGTCAATTGTCAGGTTGGTGCTTTGTCCTTGTTTCCCAGTAGGTGGTACAAAGTTTTCTTTTACTTGCATCAACCATTTACCAAGACTACTGTTCTGGTTAAGAAGCCAAGACACTGATTCTAAAGCCTTTTAAGTCTGTTTTAAGAGTAAAAACTAATAAATTACCTGGGTAGCAAACATTAAAATCTTTCGTTACTAGTAAGTTTAAAATGTTCCTATATTATCTTTTTTCAAAACAGTTTGTGTTCTGCATGTCATTCTAAAGATCATGAAACTATTTCTAAGCAATGTTATACATTATAGGATTAGTTACTAATACAACAAACAGATAGTGCATCAGTACCCACCAGTGACCAGTACACGCTACCTGTCACATGTTCTGCTATGACAAGTGTGCATATATTTCCACTTCCAGTTTGGTATGTTACATTGCAGAGCGTTATTGGAGTATTTGTGTAGTATACTCTTTAGCCCCATTCACATGCACAAAATTTACCCATGTAAGTAAATTTGCACATGTGTAAATATTCATACCTGTGTAATAGTAAATTTACTTTGCGTTCACATTGAATTTATGTAGAGTGAGTAAACGTGAAAGTGTAAATGATAATTTATTAAATTGTCTCAATTTTTCGCTGAACTTCAACAGAGAAAGATGTTCTCTTATCACTGGCGCTTAAGAACACAACCACAGTATCAGATATGTACTGCTCTTGCAATAGGTCTGTCACAAGATAGACCTCTCTGGAAGAAAGAAAGACAGTCTGTTTGGTGGAACGACATGAATATAACTAATGACGACAAAGTTTGGTACGATAATTTTCGAATGAACAAAGGTTTTTTTATCTTATCTGCACAAAACTGCAGGATTACTTAAAAGGTAGTGACCAAGCTGTTCGCCAACCTTTGGATGTACGAATGAAAGTTGCAATCGCAATATACTTCATGGCTTCAACTTCAGAATATAGAAGTGTGAGAAATGTGTTTGGTGTTGGGAAGTCCACCGTTTGTAAATGTATTCATGAAGTTTGTCAGACCATATGTGATGTTTTGCTTCCGGAATATGTAACTTTTCCCCTAAATGAAGATGACATGACACAATTTACTCAGTGAACATTTGCACATGTGTAAATATATTTTGCACCTGATCCTGACCACATGTAAATTTGCTCCTAGTGTATATTTACATACGTGAGTAAATGCGTTCACATGACACATTTACACACGTATGTCAAGTTTGCTCATGTGTGTATTTATACGTAAGTGTGCTAACAGGTGCATGTGAACGGGGCTTTCGTTGTGTTGCTGCCATATGCATTAAAAAAATAAAAATTGGTCGTTCACATAAGGACGCAGCAGAACATCTCCAACTGACGTCCTCTTCAGCCCCATTCACATGCACAAAATTTACTCATGTAAGTAAATTTGCACATGTGTAAATATACATACGTGCGTAATAGTAAATTTACTCTGCGTTCACATTGAATTTATGTAGAGTGAGTAAACGTGAAAGTGTAAATGATAAATTATTAAATTGTCTCAATTTTTCGCTGAACTTCAACAGAGAAAGATGTTCTCTTATCACTGGCACTTAAGAAGACAAACACAGTATCAGATATGTACTGCTCTTGCAGTAGGTCTGTCACAAGATAGAAAAGAAAGTCAGTCTGTTTGGTGAAACAACATGAATATAACTTATGACGACAAAGACTGGTACGATAATTTTCGAATGAACAAAGGTTTTTTTTATCTTATCTGCACACAACTGCAGGATTACTTAAAAAGTAGTGAGCGACCAATCTGTTCGCCAACCTTTGGATGTACGAATGAAAGTTTTGTTGCAATCGCCATATACTTCATGGCTTCAACTTCAGAATATAGAAGTGTGGGCAATTTGTTTGGTGTTGGGAAGTCCAGCGTTTGTAGATGTATTCATGAAGTTTGTCAGACCATATGTGATGTTTTGCTTCCGGAATATGTAACCTTTCCCCTAAATGAAGATGACATTATACAATTTACTTACAGTGCAAATTTGCACATGTGTAAATATATCTTGCACCTGGTCCTGACCACATGTAAATTTGCTCCTAGTGTATATATACATACACGAGTAAATGCATTCACATGACACATTTACACACGTATGTAAAGTTTGCTCATGTGTGTATTTATACATAAGTGTGCAAACAGGTGCATGTGAATGGGGCTTAATACTGGCTTAAATGTAACACAAAATATGGCACAAACTCTTTGTGTGATGAATTCACCACACAACATACAATACTACAAAAGTTTGTTTCCAAACTTACATGGACATGTGGCTGTCAACAATAACATGTCTAAAAGATACAAAATGTTTACTACATGCTTTGTTACACTTCGACATCCATCTGTCATGGCAGCAGCTGTTCAGACCTAACTTGTTCTTCCACATGAAAGCTGGAATCAATTTATCTAGTCATTGTTGTGTTGCTGCCATATGCATTAAAAATAAAAATTGGTCGTTCACATAATGAAGCAGCCAATTTATCACAATTAAGATGCACAATTACACAAAACAGGTGAAACAAATTATGCAATAATAATCAATATTGTTCATGTATGAAAGTTAAGCCATTTCTTTGTCCAGCAATTCTATGATCTAAATGTCTTGCGATTGCTACATTAACACGTGTCAAATCATGAATATTAAGGGCCACTTCATAAAAAAATGATGACCTATATTCCATGTAAAACTTCAGTTCCCCACCATTCAAGTGAATCCTTGTAAACTAGGAAATAAAAACACACACAAACCTATTCCTACATTGTCTTTGGTCTAATATTGTTGGACGGTCTTGAAACAGTGCTTGTGAAGACAAGCATCAAATACTCTCTACTACACGTGTCAAATCATAAACAGAGTTGCCTCCCCTTGGGTCATGTGTTTGCCCTGTGCTATTATCTCTACAACTAGCAACATGATACATTCCACAGAAATCACCAGAAAATACATAACTGTTCAAATTATGTACAACATGAAACATAGTACCCTGAAATTGTGGAGATGAGGAGAAACTGGCAGATAAATATTGCAAAACTGAAAGAGTTTGTCACATGGTCAATGTTATACTGTATTCCTACAACTATCACTAGAGGTAAGTATTCTAAACTACATTTAATACCATCTTGCACTTAGTGCACAGAGATGAGATAATTTTGTGCTGTTAGACCCTTTGACACGGTTAATACCACAAAAAGTTCAATACTGCATACAATACTGATAAGACCATATGACCTTTCTCACATGTGAGATATGTTCAAGGCACATAGCTAGGAGTGCTTTGTGATACACCTATGTCAGGTACGTTTTAGATCTGCTACATCAACTGACCATACAATACTCAAGATGCAGCAAAAACACAGACATGGTGGGAATTTCAAGCCAAAGAAAAAAGATCATGACATTGAACTGATCAATAAGTTCATAAATATTTTGTTGTTGAACTATCATGTAAAGGCAGATTCAACATGCTGAATTCGTATATCGTCTGAGTGATTAATCGAATTCAACAAATGGTACAAATTGGCCACTCGAACCCGTGTGGAGTGTGTAGAGCTTGTTCTAGTTATTTGGCAAGTTCGATGTGGCACGGCCAATCAAATTGCATTTTGATGTTGCAAAAAATTGCAAAACATGGCTTCGTCTGCTTCAAAGAAACCTTACCTTGATTTTTCAAGGGACAAAAAAGAAGCGTTTCATGGCTCTTTGTCACGAAACACCATGGAATATCACGAGCAGGGATTATTCCAAAAGAGAATAAAAGAATACTGTATAGCCATCTTCTTCACATAGTATTATGAGATCAACACAAATATCAGCAGATCGAATCATGTGAAAGGTAGCAAATTGATTAGTCGATATTCGTTACAACCACCAAACATGCTGTACAATGTATGGAACTTGGCAGGTCATTACGACGTGTCAACCCATTTGAGTCACGCTAAGCAATACTGCAATGACATTCTTCAAATGCCTCACGATGGATGTTCAGCAAGCTAAATCACCTGCCAGCTTGATGTTCAACACAGATAGTTAGGATCTATTGTTCATTGTTTTGTTTCAGTGGTAATATTAAACTAGGCAATGGACTCTTACTTTCTGTTAAACAAAGATGTTTAAAACACAAAATGACATCTCAAACTGTAACCCAACTCTTTTCAATCATGTCATGCATCAAGACATCAAGAGTATAAGGTGTTCTCTTGTCATATATAAATATAAAATCACTTTCAAACATGTCGAATGAACTTGATCTCCATCACAAGCAGCAACTGTTTGTGAAGCCCACAGTGGATACACTTGTAGACCCATGTTCCAACAAGTACAGCAGTACATCAGTATCACAGTATTGTGCAATTTCATTGCAGTTACACACAGAAAACATATCATAAAAATGCAGTTATATTTACAACATAGCTTAACAAATTTCAATGTGAGACAGGGTTAACACCAATGTAAGTATGAGTGTATATATACAAAACATTCACATTTTTTCACAGTACAAAACACAAAAATAAAATACAATAAGGCTAAAGCCTTAATCTCCATAGCTGCCGCCTGGTCTGGGTAATTACTTAAATACAAAACAGTATTCAGTATTCCTTCTTTCAGCAATTGTACAATTATAAACATTTGCCAAATTTGAATATTTTTTTTAGATCAAAATAGGTTTAAAAATTCACTAGCTTTCTTGTCAGTAGTAACTACAAATTATTAAAACAACAAGCTCAACAAAATTGAAAATCATAACCACAACTAACAAATGGTTGAAAACACAACACCTCGTACTTCTTCACAGATAAACAATTTCTTATTGTTTATATTATTCACAAAGACACAGAGTTTTTAACAAAATTTACTTTACATAACTAAGGTATGTCTGACATACTCATGAAATACAGTTTTGCCTGAAAATATTTCCAGGATTATAAACAATGTTGAGCAGTTTTGTGTATAGCAAACTTTTAACATATTAGCAAAATAGCTTTCAATATTGAATAATACTTTTCTCGTTCTACCTTTACCACATGACAAGCGCTGTGTCATAGAGGCAACATTGGAATCAGCTGGAGACAAGTTCAGTAGGTATAGTGGTGGATCTTGTGTGTCCGGCTGGAGAGGGTGGTCAGACAGGGCTATGCTGTTGCTGGCTGGAGCGCAGGGCCGGACACAGAGGCCAGCTTGGTCAGGTGACCTCTGTATGCTGGTGTGAGCAGATCCGCACTCTTCCTGCACTGGGAGATGCTGTACTCAGTTGACAGGCCACCATCTGAAACATTGCATACAACACAACTATATCTCACATCCATATTACATGTATATCACACAACTATATCACACATCCACATAACAGTATATCACACAACTATATCACACATCCACATTACATGTATATCGCACAACTATATCACACATCCACATTACATGTATATCACACAACTATATCACACATCCACTTTACAGTATATCACACAACAATATCACACATCCACATTACAGTATATCACACAAGTATATCACACATCCACATTACAGTATATCACACATCCACATAACAGTATATCACACAACTATATCACACATCCACATTACAGTATATCACACAACTATATCACACATCCACATTACAGTAAGCTCGGTCGATATTGTTTTACTCAGGTCAATAAAAACCGATATCGACCTCTACAAGAGTCTATAATTGTATAATATCACACAACTGTATCACACATTCACATTACATGTATATCACACAACTATATCACACATCCACATTACAGCATATCACACAAGTATATCACACACCCACATAACAGTATATCACACAACTATATCACACATCCACATTACAGTCTATCACACAACTATATCACACATCCACATTACATGTATATCACACAACTATATCACACATCCACATTACATGTATATCACACAACTATATCACACATCCACATTACAGTCTATCACACAACTATATCACACATCCACATTACATGTATATCACACAACTATATCACACATCCACATTACAGTATATCACACATCCACATAACAGTATATCACACAACTATATCACACATCCACATTACAGTATATCACACAACTATATCACACATCCACATTACAGTATATCACACAACTATATCACACATCCACATTACATGTATATCACACAACTATATCACACATCCACATTACAGCATATCACACAAGTATATCACACACCCACATAACAGTATATCACACAACTATATCACACATCCACATTACAGTATATCACACAAGTATATCACACATCCACATTACAGTCTATCACACAACTATATCATACATCCACATTACAGTATATCACACAAGTATATCACACATCCACATTACAGTCTATCACACAACAATATCACACATCCACATTACAGTATATCACACAAGTATATCACACATCCACATTACAGTATATCACACATCCACATAACAGTATATCACACAATTATATCACACATCCACATTACAGTATATCACACAACTATATCACACATCCACATTACAGTCTATCACACAACTATATCACACATCCACATTACATGTATATCACACAACTATATCACACATCCACATTACAGCATATCACACAAGTATATCACACACCCACATAACAGTATATCACACAACTATATCACACATCCACATTACAGTCTATCACACAACTATATCACACATCCACATTACATGTATATCACACAACTATATCACACATCCACATTACATGAATATCACACAACTATATCACACATCCACATTACAGTCTATCACACAACTATATCACACATCCACATTACATGTATATCACACAACTATATCACACATCCACATTACATGTATATCACACAACTATATCACACATCCACATTACAGTATATCACACAACTATATCACACGTCCACATAACAGTATATCACACAACTATATCACACATCCACATTACAGTATATCACACAACCATATCACACATCTACATTACAGTATATCACACAACTACATCACACATCCACATTACAGTATATCACACAAGTATATCACACATCCACATTACAGTCTATCACACAACTATATCATACATCCACATTACAGTATATCACACAACTATATCACACATCCACATTACAGTATATCACACAACTATATCACACATCCACATTACAGTATATCACACAACAATATCACACATCCACATTACAGTATATCACACAAGTATATCACACATCCACATTACAGTATATCACACACCCACATAACAGTATATCACACAACTATATCACACATCCACATTACAGTATATCACACAAGTATATCACACATCCACATTACAGTATATCACACAACTACATCACACATCCGCATTACAGTACATCACACAAGTATATCACACATCCACATTACAGTCTATCACACAACTATATCATACATCCACATTACAGTATATCACACAAGTATATCACACATCCACATTACAGACTATCACACAACTATATCATACATCCACATTACAGTATATCACACAAGTATATCACACATCCACATTACAGTCTATCACACAACAATATCACACATCCACATTACAGTATATCACACAAGTATATCACACATCCACATTACAGTATATCACACATCCACATAACAGTATATCACACAACTATATCACACATCCACATTACAGTATATCACACAACTATATCACACATCCGCATTACAGTATATCACACAAGTATATCACACATCCACATTACAGTCTATCACACAACTATATCATACATCCACATTACAGTATATCACACAAGTATATCACACATCCACATTACAGTCTATCACACAACTATATCATACATCCACATTACAGTATATCACACAAGTATATCACACATCCACATTACAGTCTATCACACAACAATATCACACATCCACATTACAGTATATCACACAAGTATATCACACATCCACATTACAGTATATCACACATCCACATAACAGTATATCACACAACTATATCACACATCCACATTACAGTATATCACACAACTATATCACACATCCACATTACAGTATATCACACAACTATATCACACATCCACATTACATGTATATCACACAACTATATCACACATCCACATTACAGCATATCACACAAGTATATCACACACCCACATAACAGTATATCACACAACTACATCACACATCCACATTACAGTATATCACACAAGTATATCACACATCCACATTACAGTCTATCACACAACTATATCATACATCCACATTACAGTATATCACACAAGTATATCACACATCCACATTACAGTCTATCACACAACAATATCACACATCCACATTACAGTATATCACACAAGTATATCACACATCCACATTACAGTATATCACACATCCACATAACAGTATATCACACAACTATATCACACATCCACATTACAGTATATCACACAACTATATCACACATCCACATTACATGTATATCACACAACTATATCACACATCCACATTACAGCATATCACACAAGTATATCACACACCCACATAACAGTATATCACACAACTATATCACACATCCACATTACAGTCTATCACACAACTATATCACACATCCACATTACATGTATATCACACAACTATATCACACATCCACATTACATGTATATCACACAACTATATCACACATCCACATTACAGTCTATCACACAACTATATCACACATCCACATTACATGTATATCACACAACTATATCACACATCCACATTACATGTATATCACACAACTATATCACACATCCACATTACAGTATATCACACAACTATATCACACGTCCACATAACAGTATATCACACAACTATATCACACATCCACATTACAGTCTATCACACAACTATATCATACATCCACATTACATGTATATCACACAACTATATCACACATCCACATTACAGTATATCACACAAGTATATCACACATCCACATTACAGTCTATCACACAACAATATCACACATCCACATTACAGTATATCACACAAGTATATCACACATCCACATTACAGTATATCACACACCCACATAACAGTATATCACACAACTATATCACACATCCACATTACAGTATATCACACAACTGTATCACACATCCACATTACAGTATATCACACAACTACATCACACATCCAGATTACAGTATATCACACAAGTATATCACACATCCACATTACAGTATATCACACAACTATATCACACATCCACATAACAGTATATCACACAACAATATCACACATCCACATTACAGTATATCACACAACCATATATCACGCGATCTACATTACAGTATATCACACAACTACATCACACATCCACATTACAGTATATCACACAAGTATATCACACATCCACATTACAGTCTATCACACAACTATATCATACATCCACATTACAGTATATCACACAAGTATATCACACATCCACATTACAGTCTATCACACAACAATATCACACATCCACATTACAGTATATCACACAAGTATATCACACATCCACATTACAGTATATCACACATCCACATAACAGTATATCACACAACTATATCACACATCCACATTACAGTATATCACACAACTATATCACACATCCACATTACAGTATATCACACAACTACATCACACATCCGCATTACAGTATATCACACAAGTATATCACACATCAACATTACAGTCTATCACACAACTATATCACACATCCACATTACAGTCTATCACACAACTATATCATACATCCACATTACAGTCTATCACACAACTATATCACACATCCACATTAGAGTCTATCACACAACTATATCACACATCCACATTACAGTCTATCACACAACTATATCACACATCCACATTACATGTATATCACACAACTATATCACACATCCACATTACAGTATATCACACAACTATATCACACGTCCACATAACAGTATATCACACAACTATATCACACATCCACATTACAGTATATCACACAACCATATCACACATCCACATTACAGTATATCACACAACTACATCACACATCCACATTACAGTATATCACACAAGTATATCACACATCCACATTACAGTCTATCACACAACTATATCATACATCCACATTACAGTATATCACACAACTATATCACACATCCACATTACAGTATATCACACAACTATATCACACATCCACATTACAGTCTA